GAGTATATGGTACTTCAGGATCGTACATGATAATCTCTGCAAACACAAGTCAGTTGTTATAAAAGACAGTGAACAGGATATAGTCAGCACTTTGATGAAAATGGCCCAATGGAATGATATGGTTCTGTTGTTTTACACCAGAGATTCAGAGGGCATTAAAGTTCATGACCTTTTGTTTTATGTGGTGACAAATATCGCTGAGTTTTATATGGCAATTCCCCTGTATATGGAATGGTTTTCTTAGAGAAAGCCACGGGGATTAGTTTACGTCACAGCTTTAACATGTGACACTGGTAATGCCGCAGACCGTCTAATAAACTGAAAAACAGTACTGTCCTTGTTATCAATATTCAGTGTGGTTATTGACAGTCTACTGATTACTGTCATTCTCATTGTTTGTTCGTGCCTACTGGAAAGTATACCTGATGAACAGCTAACCAGCATTCAAGAGTCTTGTTTGTGACTTTATCCATTTGAATTTTGACTACAAATAACAATTTAGGTATTTTCAAATTAGAAATTCGAAAACCACATGTATTAATTTGTCTCAAGAAGTGCTTCTAGAATCTCATGTACTTTTTTCTAGTGCTTTTTATACGTACATAGGGTTGTGCCACTTAGCGCCCCAGAACTCTTTTTTACGAGGGAGTAATAGTTGTGACAAGCTATTATGTGGAATTAGTGATTTAACTCAGCCTGCGGCAATCAGTGGCATTGGCGTTGTAAGCTGATTTCAACATCGGCTTCTTGGTGCCACCTGAATAAAATTAAAGGAATGCATAATTACTGGATATCAAATGAGTTCAGAAAAAGCTTGGCTTCTTTTTGTGGCCTGTGGCTGCTGAAAGCTTACATGGTCGATGTTGCATGGATCTCCAGCTAGCGTCACACACAGCTTTTTTTATATTGCGTCACACACAAGTCTGATGCAAATCTTTAGTGAAAATTGTCTGTAACGGCTAGCTGATGATAACACCCGTGCAAGGATGCTTAATGTGAAAAACAATTCAGACTCGGTGATGAACAGACATTGAGGATTGTGATTATTATTATTTTTTTACTTTGCGATGGGAGAACTGTGATAATTATAGTCTACATGATCCATCACTTGTGAGAAAACACCGTTTCATTCTTTGTAGGACTTTTATTTTGCTCTTGCCTATATTTACTTGAAAATTTTGAATTTATTTACATTTAATTGCAATTCTACTTTAGTTATATTGAAAATTCGAAGTTCAAGTACGAAAAAAAATAAGTTCTGATATAGGTAAAGTTCAGAAGCACATGTGCACCGTTGTCAGAATTTTGGACATCTAAGCAGCTCAATGCAAAAAAGAAGAAATCGATCAAAATAGTAAGTGAACAGTAAGTTTTCTTACAACCCTAAAATTTGTCTTTTTTGCTAAGAGCTATTGAAATGTCCAAACTCCACGAGATTTGGCACAGACTTCACGCGCATGAGCATCTAGCATCACAAAAAAATGTTTTTAATTCTTTTTTCTATTTTAAACAAATTTACTGTTCACCTCGGGTGCACACCCGAGAGCCAAAACGATGTGCCTCGGTGATGAACAGACATTGAGGATTGTAAAGATTTGTTTACTTCATGACGGAAGAACTGTGATAATTATTGTCTACATGATTCGTTAGTTGCGAAAAAACACTGTTTCATTCTTTGTAAGACTTTTATTTTGCTCTTGCCTACATTTACTTGAAAATTTTGAATTAGACGAGTGTTCGATTTCAAAACGCCGCGCCTCGGTGTTGTATAGGAGAAAACGTGGTACCACGCAGCTGCTTTTAAGCATGGGTCTGATTTTCAAATGGATGGTCAGCTCTCAGCTATCTCAAGTTGAGTTAGACGAGGCGGACCAATCTGTGGCTGGATGGTTAGGAGGACAGTGGTATCCTCAGTCCACCAGGGTTCAAGTCCTGGTGCTCGCATTTATCTTGAATTTATTTCAAGATTTTCGGCGATGTGTGTTCAGTGGGAGGAGACGTTCCCATCGACTGCGAGGCGTTTACGATGACTTCGTAAAATCTCAAGACGATATGCCGGCTCAGTCTCTCGGAGGTGCTCATAGGGGTAGGATGTGTGCGTGTATGCGTTCATAAGGGTGAGTGTATGCGTGTATATACGAGCGCTTGCTTCTGTATTGTGTTAAAAAAAGTTGAGTTAGATGAGTATATGAATTTGAATTTTATAGATATTATTAAAAATAAAAATAAGTAGTTTTTTTTTAGAAACAGAAAAAAGAAAAAACTAGCGATCCTGGTCCGACTCAAAATGGACCTCCCGTCCCCATCGTGGTCCGGCCCGTAGACGAACCCCGTAGGATTTATAAATTGACAACAATCCTGTAGATGTAGCGAAGCCCTTTCCCACGGACAACCCAAACCCAGCGACCACCATGGCATCAGCACCGCCGCCGCAGCGACGCCGCGCCTCGCCGCCGGCGATCCCGGACGAGCTCGTCGAAGAGATCCTCCTCCGCCTCCCGCCCGACGACCCGGCCTGCCTCCTCCGCGCCTCCCTCGTCTGCAAGGCCTGGGGCGGCGGCATCGTCTCCCACCCCGTCTTCCGCCGCCGCCTCCACGAGCTCTACCTCGCACCCCCCGTGCTCGGCTTCCTCCACGGATCGGAAGACGACGACATCCCGCACTTCGTCTCCACCACCGCGTCGCCTTTCTCCCTCGCCGCCCCGGACTGGCGCTCGTGGCGGGCCGTCGACTGCCGCCACGGCCGCGCCCTCTTCCTCTCCAAGCGCAATCATACTCGTACCTGGGAGATGCTCCTGTGGGAGCCAATCACGGGCGCCCAGCAGCGCATACCGGTGCCCGCGGCGTTCAACGGCAGCTGGCCGACCGCGGCCGTGTTCTGCGCAGTGGACGGGTGCGACCACCACGACTGCCTTGGGGGTCCATTCCGCGTGGTCTTCGTCTTCGTCGTCGACAACGAAGACGTTGACTACGACGACAATGTCATATCGGCCGGCGTATACTCGTCGGAGACCGGCACGTGGGGAGAGCTGACCTCGATGTACAGCGAATTCATGATGTTCTTTGAAAAGTATTCCAGCCTGCTCGTTGGGAGGTCTCTGCTCTACTTCATGTCCGATGCTGGGTTGATCCTGGAGTACGATTTAGTGAGGCATGGCCTGACCGTCTTCGACACACCTGACTGCCAGCCCGGCTACAAGTCCGACTGTGGGTCGTCGTCCTCGGACGACAACAGATTTAAACTCATGCTTGCGGAGGATGGTGGGCTGGGAGTTAGTGAAGAATCGGGTCTGCGCCTCAAACTGTGGACAAGGAAGGCGACCACTGATGCACCATGGGTAGTGAACTGCATCTTCTGCTTGGAGAATTTGCTTCCAGCTAGCGATCTCTTGGTCCCGGGTATAAATTATAGAGTGACCGTGCTGGGCTTTACTGAGGAAGCACAAGTCATTTTCGTTGACACGATTGATAGCCTCTTCACAATCGATCTGCAATTAGGGTTGGTGACGGAGGTCCCGGATGATCGTGGCTTCAGCAATCTGATTCCAGTTGTCGGCTTCTACACTCCCGTGCCCCGACGCAAGAACCAGAATCTGCTGGCGTTGAAACCGTGTGAGGCGGCAAGTGGTGAGGGGGGAGAAAACAGTAGTTCAGACACATCGGCTGTTTGACAAATAGAGTAATTAACAAAGTAGCTACTTGTATACCAATCAATGCTCTGAAAAGACTGCCATTGTTTCGCCCTTTGCTTTGAAGCAACTGGCTTTGCATTAGTCTTGGAGGGTTCTGTAAACAATTTTGCATGTTGTTGTGCATGTGTGAATGTTGCTTTTTATGTGAAATTCATATGTATAAATGTATTACATCTTGTCTCAGTCCTTTCTGCTAGCATACATGCCTTTTGGAGGAGTTAAGCTTTCCATATATATCTGACATACTAACATCTCAATCTGTTGTGTGCTGCTTAGTGCTACTCTGATGGTCAGTCATCAGTGCCGTGAGTAGGATCCTTTTATTCTCCGCAGTCGGGAAACACTTCTTTTCATGGTATTGTAGTTTAGATTCCAGATCAGACATTGACAAGAAGAAGTGAAGTAGCGAATGATGTTGAAGACTTGTTCTGAAGACAGCGTCGCAACTAGGACTTGAGAAACTATTTGTAACTGCTAAACCTGATAGTTGTACGATGATGCCTTAGCACTGGAACGGTTCAGAGTCTCTTTGTTGTTCTATACGACAATGTTTCTATTATGTGAAGAACATTTCATCTTCAAGAAATGGGATAAACATCGTCGACATATTTCTACTCTTGCCAGCAGTTTTCTGTTCGTGCTTGGTTTAACTATATACTAGTAGTAGCATGCATAACTATAGACAGGTAGTGTTTATCTTCCAAATCAACATTTCTACTGTAGTTTCTTCTGGAACATATCAATGTAGTTTTGCTGAAAACTGCTGAGCTGCAGCGACATACAAGGCTAGTTTGGAATTGGGTCTGGGTTTAATACAGTGGTCATCATTTTTTTCTCTTGAAAAAAACATTTCAATTTTTTCTTAAACTAAGCAAAAAACATTTAGGGCTTGTTTGAGACTCTTCTTTCCATCAAAATCGGGCTGTTGATGAGTAGGACGAGCTTTTTTTGTGGGTACTGTTTCTCTCAATAAGTTAACTTTATTAAGTGGACAGTTCGTCTTCTATTTTTTAGCTGAATTGTTTCTTTTGCTTTCTTTTGACAGGTCAATTATTTCTTCTGTAATTAATTAGAAGGTTGACCTCCAACCGGTTGCTCCAAAAATAACGCGATGAGGCACCGAGATAGATTCATGCATGACTACGGTATATTTCCTATGACCGACAAAAACACATAACAAATTACAAGAGCCGAGATTGCATTACTTCTTCTCTCAACTTTCAGAGAAAATGTTCTTCTAATTGATGAATGGAAAGCTCTACTGCCTCAAGAGGAAAAAGTTTAGATACAGAGCCTGCCTGCCACACTCTAAAGCTCGTCCTTCTTGTCGGAAGAAGAAGAAGCATCCTTGCTAATTTCCTCATCGCCGGAGGCATCCTTGTTCTCCTCATCGCTGGCGCCGGCAGCTTTGCCCTCATCCTCCTGCCACAGGTAAGAGAATGTAGTTTTGTGTTAAGATGAGACACATCATATAAGCAGTTAGAAACGTTGAGGATAAAATTAAATTCATTTGCAGCTTACATCAGCTGCATCATCATTGTCTTCGGTCTTAGCATTTGCGGATTCCTGACAAGGAGAAAACAGAGTAGTTAGTACTGGATTTAGCGTAGAGGGCAGTATAACAAACAGAGGATGTTTGCATATACACCTCCTCAAGCCTCTTCTTCTCGGCCTCATCAAAGGCAGCCTTCTCAGCCTGCAAGGCAGAGAGCCATTGACTTAGCTCTCTACATCAAACATCTAAAACGACACAAAACTGAAAATGAAACAAAACTTAAACTGCTCGTGATAAGATGGCATACATCCTTGTGCTTGCCCCAGGTCTCCTCCGCGAACTTCTTGGCGTACTCGGGGTCATCAGTGATCAGGATGTTGTCGAACAGAGTTCCTGATTTAACCTAGTGCCGGTCGAAGGAGAAATCAATATCAGTGGTCCCAACAAAAGCTTCACAATGTGCTATGCTAACCATGCTTCACAGAACTTGTGAAGCACTAACCTGCCACAGCTCAATACCAATGTGCTTCAGGCTGTCAAAAGCGTAGATGTAAGGATCATCCTTGTACTCTGCACGAACAAAGGAAAAGAAGATCATATGAGCTTTTGATGTTTCACTGAATTAGTTGAGCAGAAAAGATAACTGTACAGCAGTTAATCTGAATGTACAACAGTGGGCAAGCTCAGTTTACCTGGGTTGTCGATCAAAGGTGCCTTCCATTTGCCCTTGAAATTAGGGTTCTTGATTTTCTGAATACAGTCTCATGTCAGAACTTGTAATGCACATTGCTACCTGTCTAGAACAATTAAGTAACTAGCCATGCTGTCATAGTTATACCTTTTGGATCCATGGTCCCTTGTACTCAGGGTTTGGGATGGTTGGAGCTGTCCATTCACCATCTTCCTCATCATCCCAGTCCTCAGGCTGCCATGTATGTAATATTGACCAGTGTGAGAAATTGCATACAAGAGGCAACAGAACACAAAGTAAAACTGTTTTAAGAATGGGGAAATGTGCACCTTCGTTGCATCAGGTTCAGTGATTTCCTTGGGAATGTCATCATACCCCTGCAAACAATCTGAGTCAGACAGGAAACCACTAGAGGCAAAGCATCAAAGACAAACAACAGTTTATAACACAAGAATGTGGAAACTCATGTTGTGCAGTTAGGATTGTCTAATGGACACTTTGCATCCGTAGATTTGTGAGACACAGCACAGAATATAATGAACAGTTCGGCTTAGCTCAGTATTATGGCATTGGCCAAAATCAATACTCATGCTACAACATTATCATCATCCAAATTGTGCAGCAACAAAGGGAAAGCTACCTCTGGCTTCTTGTCCTCGGGGTCAGGAAGGAACTCCTCGTCCTCCCAGTCCTCTGGCTGCAACCATCAGCACACAATGTTATATTAACGACTTATCACCTCTGTCACAAAAACACCATTACCATGGCTACCAAACGACGGATTATCTCTGAACCTCACCTTCTTGGCATTAGGATCCCTCTTCTTCTTGGCAGGAAGGATGTCCCAGTCATCGTAGACGCTGCCGGACTGCTTCTCGACGTTGTCGATGAGGATGCTGTACGTGGCGTCGGGCCGGAGGATCAAGGTGTAGACGTGCGTGAGCTGGTCCGTCTCGCAGGGCACCTCCTTCTTGATCAGATGGTTCTTGCCGTTCTTGGTGAGGATCGCGTGCACCTTCTTGGTGGCGTACCCGCAGATGTCCGGCCCGAACATGATGCTGCGATTCGGATCGAACCAGGGCATGGATGATCAACCAAGCATACATGCCTTTTGAAGGAGTTAAGCTTGCCATATACTGCCTCCGTTCCTAAATATAAGTCTTTGTCCCCTCCCTCGCTCGCTCCTCCCGGGTCGCCCCGCGTGCGACCGGGAGGAAACCCTAGCCGCCGCCGGCGGGGTCCCCCGCCCTTTCCTCCTCCACCTCGCCGCCGCCAGAGGGCACGGCCAGGCGAAGCTTGGTCGGCGCCGGCGGCGCCGGGGAGATCCCGCCCCTTTGCTCGGCGGGCTCGGTGTGGGCCAAGGCGGCTGGGCCGGGGTGTCGCGCTAGCGGCGAGGGCGGCGGCGCGCTGGTTTCGATCGACGACGGCGTGGCTGCGGCGTGGCGGGCGGCGTGCTAGGGGTGTGCGTCTAGGGGCTGGTTTTGGTTGCGGCTCCGCCAGATCTGGCACTCCGGGCGGCGTGGGCCGGGGCGGCGCTGGTCACGGGCGGCGGCCCCTGCCTCGCCTTCCAGCTGGTGGGGCTAGCATCGTGACGGTGGTGGTCGACCCTCTCTCGCTTGCTGCTCAGCTGGGGGTGTTTGTGGACGGTGGCGACCTGTTGGTGGACGTTGGCGGCTCGGCGGGTGCCGTTGGCCGGCCGGTGGTGGTGGGGTGCACCTGGGAGGGAGGCAGAGGCCTCCTGGTCCCTGCCCCCGGTGGTGCGGTGCAGTGGCTGCGGCGAGGACGAGACCGGCGGCTGTGACGTGGACGAGGCCGGCACCTGAGGAGAGGTCGAGGCCGGCGGCTGCGGCGAGGTCGAGGCCCGCGGCGGCTGCTGGGCCGTCTTCCCGCTAAAGGGTTCGTTTTGGGGTGAAGGGAGTCCCTTTACCTCTCATCGGTCAGTTCCGTCCCTTTGCTGTCGTGGTGGTTGCGAAGGGGTCATGGATGCCGGGGCGGCGGCCTCGTTGGTGGTAGTCACGCTGCTGGTGGGTGAGGTGCGCGACTCAGGCGTGGGCTGGTTGCTATGACCGCTCGGGCGGCGTGGCGGCCGGTGCTTCGGCGAGCGGTGGCGTTTCGAAGGTGGAGCGTGCGTGCCAGGGGCGATCCCTTGCTCGGCTTCGGTCGGGCCGGCGACGGCGGCGTCCGTGGGCGTCGTCTCCTTCCTGAAGGCGTCGTCGTGGCTACTCTTCCCCTTTGAATGATCCAGGTGAAAGCCATGATCCTTTGGATCCGGCGGCGACGGCGCTCCGGTGTCGTTCCCCTTCTTGAAGGCGCCGTCTTGGAGGCCTACATTCGCCAAGCTCAGCCTCGTCTCTCCGTGACATTCTTTCATGGTGGACTTCTCCGACTACTTCAAGCTCTGCCCTTGTTGCTCATTTGTTGTATGCTTGGAGTGTTGGGGTGTTGTGGTTGTTCCTGTACCTGCTGTATCCAGCCTTGGGTGTGTTGTGTGGTGGTGTGGTGTGGTGTTGTGTGGCTATCGTTGTCGGTTTCGGTGATCGTTGCTTTATAATATAAAGCGGGGGAAACCCTTTTTCGGTAATATAAGTCTTCGTAGAGATTTCACTATGGATCACATACGGATGTATATAGATGCATTTTAGAGTGTAGTTCACTCATTTTGCTCCGTATGTGGTTCATAATGGAATCTCTCCAAAGACTTATATTTAGGAACGGAGGGAGCATATCTGACATACTAACATCTCAATCTGTTGTGTGCTGCTTAGTGCTACTCTGATGGTCAGTCATCAGCGCCGTGAGTAGGATCCTTTTATTCTCCGCAGTCGGGAAACACTTCTTTTCATGGTATTGTAGTTTAGATTCCAGATCAGACATTGACAAGAAGAAGTGAAGTAGCGAATGATGTTGAAGACTTGTTCTGAAGACAGCGTCGCAACTAGGACTTGAGAAACTATTTGTAACTGCTAAACCTGATAGTTGTACGATGATGCCTTAGCACTGGAACGGTTCAGAGTCTCTTTGTTGTTCTATACGACAATGCTTCTATTATGTGAGGGACAGTTCATCTTCAACAAATGGGATAAACATCGTCGACATATTTCATCAGTTGCAAGATTCCCCCCCTCTCTGTATGAATATGTTTTTTCTACTCTTGCCAGCAGTTTTTTGTTCGTGCTTGGTTTAGCTACTCCCTCCGTTCCTAAATGTAAGTCTTTTTAGAGATTGCAAAATGGACTACATATGGAGCAAAATGAATGAATCTACAATCTAAAATACATCCATATATATCCGTATATATATTCGTGTATATATTGAAATCTCTAAAAGACTTATATTTAGAAACAGAAGGAGTATATACTAGTAGCTAATTCGAAGAGGCTGGCTATTCGAGACAGGTAGTGTTTATCTTCCAAATCAACATTTCTACTGTAGTTTGGTACTGTGCCTCTCTTCTGGAACATAACAATATAGTTTTGCTGAAAACTGCTGAGCTGCAGTGTCTTGGATCAGAAAACTACAGCGACATACACGGGAGTTTGGAAACGAGGCAAGCAATGCACGGTCACTCTGATTTAAGACAGTGATCATCATTTCTTTTTCTTTTGGAAAAAAACATTTCAAAAATTGTTGACCGTAGAGGTGTCTCAGTCATTAAAAGGGCAACCTGGTGCATGTAGCTCCCGCTTGCGCAGGGTCCAGGGAAGGGTCCGACCACTTTGGGTCTATAATACGCAGCCTTTCCCTACATTTCTGTAAAAAGCTGTTTCCAGGACTTGAGAACCCATGACCTCATGGTCACAAGGCAGCAGCTTTACCACTGCGCCAAGGCTCCCCTTAGAGGTGTCTCAGTCATTGTTAGAAATAATCTCGGTGCACTGGAAGTAGTCACGTAGATGTTTTTTCAGTTTTCTGAATATGCTGAATAATAGCCAGAAGTGCACTCTGTTCGTGCTGCGGCTTAATAGCTTCAGGCGTTAGTTTTTATTCAGTTATCTTATCCTCTGTAATCGGTAGAGTGATGACCACGATCTGGCCGTGGGATGGCGCGGGGATAACGGATCGTGGGCTTCCAGTTTGTTTTATGGAATAAAAGGATAGAAGCGAAAAGGACGCGAGGTTGAGGCGTCGCAAACTACTGTCTCCCGTTTTTCTGTTTCGCTGCTGTTCTCTGAACGTGTTCGTCAGGGACTTAGCTGTAGATTACAGAGAGGACCGTCAGTGTGTTTGCGCAGAAATTGATGACACTCGTCGGAGAAATCCGATCGCTGGGCGAGACGGTGTCGGATGAGTCGATCATTGAGGTCCTCTTCAACGCCGTCCCGAGCCGGTTTGGGGACATCGTGAACACCATCGAGCAGTGGGGTGACCTCACTACCATGACAGTGTCGGAGGCAGTTGGGCGCCTCGCCGCGTTCGAAGAGAGTCGGCGCGGCCGGAGCCATCACTCCGGTGGGAAGGAGGACCAGCTGATGCTGATGACGCAGGCCCTTGAGCAGCTCATGAAGGGCAAAAATGGGTCACCGGGAGCCGGTAGCAGCAACGCCGGTCATGGCCGTGGAGGTGGTCGAGGTCGAGGCGGTGGCCGTGGTGGGCGCGGTGACCGCGGACAAGCCGGGCGCGGCGAGAGCAAGGACGTGGGGAAGCAGAAGAAGCACCGTAAGTTCGACATCACAAAGGTCAGGTGTTTCAATTGTAATGAGATGGGCCATTTTCGGTCTGACTGCCCGGAGCCAAAGCGTGAGCAGGCGAATTTTGCACAGGCAGAAGAAGTTGAAGACCCAGCACTCCTCATGCTTGAGGCGTGTGAGCTTGCACCTTCTGAGGAAGTACCCACAGAGCAGGTCCTTTTGAATGAAGAAAAGGTGATGCCAAAATTGGCTGGTGCACAAGACATCTCTTGGTACTTGGACTCAGGAGCGAGCAACCACATGACAGGCAATGCAGAAAAATTTGCAGAACTGGATAAGTCAGTGAATGGAAAGGTAAAATTTGGTGATGGCTCTGCCGTCGACATATGTGGTCGAGGCTCAGTTCTCATACAGTGTTTGACAGGGGAGCACCGAATTCTTTCAGACGTTTACTTCATTCCTCGTCTGAAGAACAATATTATCAGCCTAGGGCAGCTAGATGAGAATGGGTGCAAATACTCTAGTGAAGATGGGCTGATGACAGTATGGGATCGACAGAGAAATGTCCTGGCTAGAGTAAAGAGGACTAAGAACCGGATGTATATCTTGAACATCAAACCAACTGAACCTGTGTGTTTGTTGGCACATGCAAAGGAGCAGTCATGGCTGTGGCATATGAGATATGGACATGTGAATTTCAGATCGCTCCGTGCTTTGGCCGCAGAGGGAATGGTTAAGGGAATGCCCCTGCTTGAGCATGTTGATCATATATGTGATGGGTGTATGATTGGAAAGCAAAAGAGGCAGCCTTTCCCGTCAGTCTCTAGTTTTCGTGCTACACAGCAGCTGCAGCTAGTGCACGGGGACTTGTGTGGGCCGATCACCCCAAAAACACCCGGCGGTAAAAGGTACTTCTTGCTGGTGGTTGATGACTACTCGAGGTTCATGTGGATAGCACTGTTAAAATCTAAGGACGAGGCACTTGGTGCTCTGAAGAAATTCAGAGGGCTGCTGAAATTGAAAGGGAACTAAAACTCAAGGCAATCAGAACTGACCGAGGGGGTGAGTTCACATCAGCAGAGTTTGCTAAGCATTGTGATGATCATGGCATTAAGCACTTCCTTACTGCTCCGTACACACCTCAGCAAAACGGCGTCGTCGAGAGAAGGAATCAAACTGTGGTCGGGATGGAAAGAAGTCTGTTGAAGTGCACAGGAGTTCCTGCAAGATTATGGGGCGAAGCGGTTGCCACAGTAGTGTACCTTCTCAACCGTGCGCCCACTAAGAGTGTTAGAGGGGTGACTCCATATGAAGCATGGCATGAAAGGAAACCTTTAGTGGAGCATCTGCGCACGTTTGGATGTGTGGCACATGTCAAAATGGTTGGCCCTGGTGTGACTAAGCTCTCAGATCGCAGCAAGCAAATGGTTTTTATCGGTTATGAGACAGGCTCAAA